AATGAAAAAACGATGCCTTAAGTGAAGTGGGTTTCTTATCCACTAGCAAAACTGTGGACCTTAGAATTAATTTCTGCTGTGAGGCTTTCCTCCTTACTGTTCCTGCAGGGAGTTATAAGAAGAAATATATATATATATATACTTTGTTTAAAATAAGACAGTATGTGGAAGTCTGCCATATGGGCACTCAGAACATTGCCATTTCAATCACTGCATGTCTAGTATTGATTTTAAATCAGTGAAGCCCCTTAACAGAATAGTAACAAAAGACTATCTCAGTGCATTTTGGATCAGAAAGAATAGAATTGCTTTGTATGTTCCTACTAGAAACATCACGAGTCCACATTTGTTTGCTCTCTGAAATCCGTATTTTGAAACAAGACCAGCCATGCTTTCCTATAGGTGCACAGAGAAGATGACTTAAAGGGCTTTGTTATTCCTCTAATACCACTTCTTGCAGATTTCATCTAGTGATCACACTAAGAGAGACAGTTAAGTAGAATGGTGAGAGGGAGAGTCAGCAGACTGGAGACAGCAGGAATGGTCACATCAGAGCTCTGCAGCTGACAGAAAGGAAGAGCCATGTGCAAGCAGAGTGGGGAGCCCTGTGAGGAGCAGGAGCTGTCCAATCATTCCCTTGACTAGGTGCGAACTGCTGCACAGTTGAGAGCGTTTCTCTTTCTTAATTTTTTTCTGCATAATTTGTCTACTAAGCAGTTGCTACTCAAACTTCTCTGAATCGGCATAATCTAAAAACAATTGTCAGAGGATGACTGAACAGCAAAAAATATTGATACAAACCACACACATTTCATGGAAGCGTTAGACAGTCTCTACCCTGATTTATTTTGCTGTACCTTCAAGCAAAGTTTTATGCCAAGGAAAGTAATTAACACTAACACAGCTTTATATCCAGGTGCAGCATGCACAGATAAAGCATGAATGAAATAAGGTAAAATATTCTGCTTGATGACTGACATTGAACAAGGATTCATTGCCAAAGTTTTTAATATGAAGACCCATCAACAACAAATGCCAGTGTAAATGATTAAATGTTTTGAGGTTGCTGCTGATTCATTATGAGAAAAGTTTAGACAGCCAGACTGTTAGACATTAAATGAATCAATAGCAATATGCTCAAATTCTACTTTGCTAGTGACTTAGGTCTTCAGTGTCCACTCAGACATGTTAAGACCGAAAAGGTGAACTAAGCTACTACTGAGCCTGATAGTAAATGCAGGGTTAACAATAATATGTGAAAAATAATTCCAGCAAGAAATCTAAAATTCAAGCATTGCTTTAGAAGGCAAACGAGTGCAAGAGATGAGTCAATCTCAATACCTTGGAAGTAATACGCAAGCCGGGGGGGTGGGGTGTGTGTGTGTGCGTCTAGAAGGGAATAATGTCACAAATTAGCATGGCAGCAACTGCATTTATCTGCTTAAATAAGAGTCAGTCTTTGAAAATCTATAATATAAAGAACAAACTGAATATTCAATTCATGTTATTTTCAACCTAACAGATGGATGGGAAAGCTGGAAATCTACCAAAAGTATAGGCAGTCATCTAAGAAGGCTGATAAAACACTCAGGAAAAGTTTAACTTAGAAAAACACTACTTTGTAAAATAAGTGAATCAAGTTTTCCACAATTTAACAGTATCTTATATAGAAAAAAAAAAAGGTATCTGCGTCTGGGATATGTGTTAGTAATAAAATGAAGAATTTGACCGGTAGAAGTATATTCAGAAGGAGATTTATATGCAAAAAGGGGGAACTAAAAGGCTGATCATTGTCCGCTGATCATTGTGAAGGGCAATGCCGGAGGGACTCCCGGCCATGAGGACGGCGCGGCGGGGAGCTTCCGCCGGCGGGACGCGACCACGGACAGCTCCCGCCCCGACGAGCCGCGCCCGCAGCCCGGGAGCAGCAGCAACAGCAGGAGGAACAGCAGGAGGAACAGCAGCAGGAGCAGGGTGAAGCTCTGGATGGCTGCTTGCAAACTGAGGAACAACTAACATTTCAGAAAACGGGTGTCCGTCTTTTAGAGGGACTTTTACGGCATGCAAGTCCTAAAAATTGAGGACATTTGTGAGTGAGTTTCTAGAACACAGCAAAATAGACGCTGCAGCACGCTGTCTGTATGGAGAGTAAAAACACTATGTTCACTCAAATAAAGGCTGTGTGCATCAAGCAGCTGCTTCATGTGGTTGCGCTGACTGGGAGTTTCCAAGCAGATTAACTCCACTTGAGATTTTAAGAGCAAAGTCTGTGGGAGAAGATAAGTCTTTTTTTTTTGTAAGAGCATACAGAAATGCCATTCTGGTAATTTATTTGCCACACTTTCAAAGAAATCATCATTATAGAAAGTAGTGTGATGGTAACGAAGCAAAGCTTCAGACCCTTCTCCAGGCATTTCACCTTTTTCATTACACTGGGCCTTGTCTACTTTAACATACTTCCCAGCTCTTCCCAGTTCCAGATGGTTGTGTCTTCCTATCACAAAAAAAAATATAACTGTCAATAGTAAAATCCTGTGAAGATTAGATACATTATTTTGGTGCTGGATGGAACTGTGAAGATTCCATGGAAAACAAAACCCTTAAAATGTACCTCAAGAAAGGTCTTGACACTCTTGTTCCCAGATGGTCACCATACTTCCTTGTGCTCCTGGTTACTTCACCCGTATAGAGCATTCAACTGACTTTCCTTGCCCTCCTACATTAAGTTGAAGTCTATGTCTTTACTTGCCTTCACCTAGCTCCTTTGTCATTTTTTTTTATTGTATCATCATCACCCCCCTCATCTTTTGTCATGTAACAGTGCTGCCTCGTCAGATCTTCTGCTGTCTTATTGTTAGGCTACAGACCTTCTACTTTGACACAGAGCAACTGGACTTAAGGGGCAAAGGGGGTTCAATCACATCTTACGTATGAGGGTAGATTAAGATTAGATACAAGGAAGAAGTTCTTTATTATGAGGGTGGTGAGGCACTGGAACAGGTTCCCCAGTTCTGGGAAACCGGGTTTCCCAGTTATGGCTGCCCCATCCCCGGCAGTGTTCAAGGCCAGGCTGAATGGGGCTTTGAGCAACCTGGTCTAGTGGAAGGTGTCCTTGCCTGTGGCAGGGGGGGTGGAACTGGATGAGCTTTAAAGTCCCTTCCAACCCAAACCATTCTGTGATTCTACGATTTGTGTTAGCTGAAAAACTGTAAGTTTGTGTAAAACTGAATCAATGTAACTCAGTTTATTACCCCAAGCTATTTTAAAGCATGTACTCTTTTTGTATAGAGTAAGAATGGTCCTCCCTAGTGTTTCCAGAATACACTGAAACTTTTTTAGGCAACTGCTTACTAGAGTGACTTTCTAATTTGATGGATCCACAAGCATGATTATGGGAGACCTTCTGAAATGTGTTACCAGGAGTCAGGGCCAAAGTATTACATGATCTCAAGAAAGAAGCTTGTTTGCCTGCCTGCACTGTCTTCTGGTCAGGCCAATTCATGTTTGTTGAGTTTTGCTTCATTTGTTGAGCTACGTAACTAAACTGATTTAAATATATTATGCATAGCATGTTTAAACTGGATTATGAAGAGTTGTACTTTTTTGTGTAATTTCAGTGAAGACTTGAAGGTATAAGGCTGTGTATGGGAGAAATTAGACTTTCAATCAATTTCAGTGCACTGTACGTAAATAATTATTCATTAGCTGAAGATCTCAGTCAGCTTTGCAGGACTGTAATTCAGTAGCAACATCTTTTACATGTAAACTGAGCCCATGATGCAGAAAGCACCAAGATTACATTTTCAGAGCAGAATCATGTTACAGAAAAACAGTGTACAAGAAATCTAAATGCTAACTGGGATGGAGCTTTAATCCTTTTACTGCCTTTGTGCTGCGCTTCTGCTTCAGCTGTGGTATTATGAGGCTGTCTAGTCAAATTAAATGCATCCCCTAGTAGGAGTTATGTAGGTGCTTATCTTATTTGTACATTTCTAATGCAGGCAGCACCGTGACGGCTAAACTCTGCTTTGTCTTTGTGTGTTTTTTCCTTTTACCTCTTGTAACATGTAAAAAAAAAATGGTAAAGAAGTTGAAAATAGAACTCAAACGTGTAAGCCAAACAGGGATATATTTTAGCTGCTCCATAGATCAGCCTCCACACTCAGCCACTGGTGAACAAAGGTGCGAAGTTAAAAAAAAACAAACAAAACTACGAACAAACTTCTTGGCAGTCTGGAAGAAACACGGTGCTCAGTGTCCACTAGCTGTTTGCAAAACCACCTCCAGTGAGCCTGAGCCGGAGCGGAGCCAGCCCATCTTACACAATCGCGCTGCCCTGCTCAGCCAATGCCGCAGAGCGGGGCTTGGAGCAGAAGCAGCCTCGAGTGCTGCTTTAGCATTTCCTCCATAACCACAGAACTTCCTGCATCACTCCAGCTCTCATTTGACACAATTAGTTTGCCAGCAGTTTGGACGGTGAATTCTTCTTACCCACAGAGAGACGGGGACACTGTGGCTACTGTCCCTGCCAGACCGGCCGAAGCGCCGAGACCGGGGCGAGTGTGGAAGTCTTGGCCTGTGTTTCGTTGCGGGGCTGCATCACCCGACGGGGTGCCCCCCCCGGCAGGCATGTCCCCCTGCACCGCACCCCGGCAGGGCAGCTGCGCGGAGGAGGGGTCCCCGCGTCAAGGGGCCAGCGGCGGCCAGCGGGGATTCCCACGGGCTGGACCGGGCTATGCCGCCGCCGGGAGCCGTGTGGCGCCGCGCCGGGCCGCGCTGCCATGACAGCGCGCAGTGCCGGAGCGGTCACCGCTCGGCGCCACCCGGCCCCGCCGCTCCCCGCGCCCGCCCCGCTCCCGTCCGCCTCCCTCCCTCCCTTCCCGGCGGAGAGGCGGCCGCCCGCCGGGCCCGTCCCCCCGGACCCGCGTCCCGCCGCCGCCCCCCCCCCCCCGGGGTCAACCGGGGACAGCGCCCGCCTCCCACCGCAGGAAGCGCCGCAGCCGCCGCTGGCGCTTCCCGCTCGGCGCTCGCCGGTGGCAGGTGAGACTCCCGCGTCCCTCCTCGCTCCCCCGCCCGGCGCGCTGGCGGGGGGATGCCCCTCGGGCCGCCGGGTGGGGCGGGAAGCCCGAGCGGGGGTTCCGCAGGCGCGGGCCGGGGCTGCTTGGCTGGGCGGCTGCGCAGCGACTGGGGATGGAGCGGCCCGGGCGGGAGCGGCGCCGCTGGCCCGTCACCGCAGCCCGGGGCCCGGCTGCCGCGGAGTCGGGGAGGACTCGGTGCGCTGCCCGCCCGGAGAGCGCTGCGGCTGCGGCCGCCGCTTCCCAGCCGCGCTGGACCTGCGCTTCGGCCCTCGGCTCCCCGCGCCGATTGTGGGAGGACTGGGCTGGAGCTGCCAGGGCAGCCTCAACTCTTGGCTGTCCTCCGGGTTACCAGATAGATTGTACTTGTTACATGGGAAGAAAATAGCCTCCAGGAAGGGCTACGTCGTGTTTACTGCTCCGGCAGACTTCACCTCTTTCCCCACCCACCCCCCAGGAAGGGCTGCTCCCCACGGCGCTGCGCGCCGCTTTCCCTGCGCGGTGCGTGTGGGAGCGCTGAGCTGAGCTGAGGTGGGAGCATGGGAGATGCCTGGGAAACGCCAGGGAGTTCGGGTCCCAGATGGCAAGGACCGCGCACGGTTATCGATCCAGATAGTATTGTGGCCAGCAGACAAACGGACAAGGTGTAAGGATCTCTCTGTGAATGCAGTATCGCTGTTTGTTAATCGTACTTGGGGCTATGAAGGATGATTAACCAGTATTTTTAAAATAGGTAGGTGCTACTGGCCTGCTAGTCAAGTGAACTTAATACCTCATGGAAAAAACACACAGTTGCATGGCGTGTTCTGTGGGATGCTTCTGCGGGAGAGATGTAAACAAACTCACAGGGAATACACGTTTTGTGGAAAACGCAAGACGCAGGAATCTGGAGTAATTTAGGATCTAAGTCCTGCGGCAACAGGTGGCAGAGCTGAGGAGAAGAGAGCGCTGTCCTGGCTCTGTCATAGCGCAGTGTTCCTCCATTAGGGGCAGAGCTTCCTCTCGCCAAATGAGCAGCAAAACACCATCAGCTGCAGGGAAGGCAGCTTACAAAGACAATATAATTATAAAGAGCTGAGATTAATTTATTATTATTAGACCAGTAAAGCACCAGGGGATAAGGGCAGAAATATCCCTGTAATTTGTGCTCAAACCGCATGACCAGAAAAAGTTTTCTGGAGAGGAAATTGGGGCTTTCCCGGGTCTGTTGTCATGCGTTGTGAGGTGACCACTGTAGTCACTGCAGGACACTCTACGAGGTCGTGCAGTGTGGGTCGGTTGTGCCCTGGAGCAATCAGGAGGCAGTCAAAAGCAGAAAGAGCCTCGATGAAATGAAAGCAGAGCGTATCTATAGGATAGTCAAATCACAGTGCTTTCACATTACATTCCTTTCCTCCCTAAAACCGTACCTGAAAGAAAATACTACAGGGGGCTGAGGCGCTAAGCCAGAGGCAAAGAAAAGCAGAAAGATACTGTGCTCATTAAAAAACTTGTTAGACTCTACAAGCAAGATTTCCAAAAGGAGTAAGACATGGTTATGAGTTCAAAGCACAACAGCATGCTGGGCTGCAGAAATTTAATGTCTTGGTCTTTGTCATTGAACCAATAAACATGAAATATACAGCTTCTAATACAGTTAATTACAGTTAGCTTCTAGTACTGAGCAGTTCAGATAAAACTTGAACAGGATAAATGAGAAGGCAGCATTGTTAGTTAAAAAATGCTTGGGAAATGCATGTTAGGATTTATTAGGGAAATGAAGAAAGACATTGTCTCAGATTTAAAAAGGACCTCTCAAAAAAATGAGGGAGGGAGGAGAGGAAAAAGGAAAGGAAGAAGGGAAGGGAAGGGAAAGGAAAGGAAAGGAAAAAGGAAAGGAAAGGAAAAAGGAAAGGAAAGGAAACTGCTGATACAACAGTTCTTTGTTTTCTGGAAAAAGCTGAAATTGGAAAGATTTGAGGAAAAAAAAAGCTGTGAGAAAAAAGAGAAATCTAAATAAATGTCTTTGATAATGATAGAAACCTCTACTAAAAAGAAGTTGGAGTGCTCCAGGTGACATAACACTTTGAGAAGGTAATTTTGAAGTTAGTTGATTGGCTTAAGACAGTCAAACAAAGCACAGGTTAGTGTTACTCAGCAGCTGAAACAAAGGAGATGAATTACATTTATAGACATCACACAGTTTCAGTCTGGAGATCACCCTGAATAAGGCACAAAAAGAGAGGTAGCTTGTAGAAAAGTTGTGGAAAAGGATTAGGAAAAGAGAGCTGGAAGCAGCATACGTAGGTAGCTGGACTGCTACAGACATTCCTGGAGACTTTAATCTGGAAGGGATGCGACACTGCTGTCCTAGGGAGCTGTGGGCTAGTTTTGCTGTGCGGATGACAGATAAAACTAAGATCTTGCTGTTTCATTTTCCGGGCAAATGAAGGAGGAACCTGAGAAATTCTGCAGTGTGTTAAGAGCTACATTTCCAGGAAAGGGAAAAGAACTAAGCAGGAAGAGAGCTGATACAGAATGATGTATCTGCCCCAACTGGGGGATGTCAGAGGGAAGGTCAAGAAAGTTGAGGAAAAATGGAAACTGCCTTAAGGGGCAGTGCAAACCAAGGATACCTACAGGAAATACAGATTATATATATATGTGGAAGAAAGGCAGAGAGTTGTGAGGTGGTTTCCTGGCAAGTATCACCAAGTAGAAGGGTAACTGTGATAAGGGCCGAGTTTCAGCAGCTCTTGTGCAGGAGCACGTACACAACTATGAGGTATGGTCTGTTACAGGATGTCTCAGACATGGGAGCAGCATACAGCTCTCCTGTACGAAGCGGGGCCTTATAGGCCACAGCAAAGCAACATTTCTTGTAAAGAACGGAGGGCAGGTACTACCCTCTTCATCCACCCAGAGGAAATGTAGCACTTTGAATGGGGTGTTTGCCACCATAACAGGAAAAAAGAAAATAATAATAAGGAAAATGCAAGGAAAGCTTTTGTAGAAAGACAAAAGTAGCGAAGTGGTACAGTTATGAGAATACAGACAGTTAAAGGCTTGACATAAATAAAAAGAGAGGAAAAACAGAGTAAACTTCCTGACCTTTCCAAGACAACAAAGCAATTTGCAATCAGTCATAAATAATGGCAGTCATTTTAACAAAGGTATCCTTAGATTAGAATATATTCTGACATAGAGCTTACACTTGGGTCTGGCCTAAGCTTCCTGAATACATAACAGTCTGTTTTTACAGTTCTTAATACTTCCTCTACAGTTCTTAAATTTGCAATTTAAAAAATGTGCTGTGGAAGTGAAAACATTAATAGTATTACGCCTAACCTGTACATCTGTGCCTATGGTTGAGCAAAATGTAAGGGAGAATACAGGAAACCTCTGAGCACATGAAACCTGAGGAACCTATGAAACTCAAGCCAAAAGAGGGGTGGAGATATGCAGGCTCTTCCAAACGTTTCCTGATTTTTATGTTTATAGATTAGTAAACAAGTAATCGGAGGAAGAAAAGCATCCACACAAAGCTTTCAACATATTAGCTGAATCATTACACTTGTCTGCATATCTCAAACGAGATATTGGGGTCTGTAATATTTGAATGCATTATATAAATGGTGTTATGAGTTGGGTTATCTTTCTTATGCAGATTAAAGTTTCAGCTGTAATGAAGAGGTTTGGTCTAGCCATTTTTGGAAAATGATAGAAAGCAAAAGCCATGTGGATACCTCAGACAGATGTTTTTTCTTTAGGTTTCTAGAGATGGGCACAAGAGAAACCCCTGACTTTCTTCTGTATGGCTAGGTCCTGGTGGTTACCCTTGATCAAGCTCATGGTAAAGTAAAACTTCAGGAAGTTTACTTCTCCTCCTGGTGAAGGTAAGGAGATTTTTATTAATAGGTTTGACTTCTGAATGACAGGTGACTATTTCAAGCATGAGTTGAGGGAATGTAAATCTTTGTGTGGAGATGAACTGATGAGAGCCAATTTGTAAATTAGACAGCTGAAGATCAAATGGCAGAGAAAACTGAGTAACTAAGACAGGGAGACACTTAGAGGGTTTCTGTGTCCCAACATTGTGATTAAGAGAGGATTGGAGTGGAAAATACTGGAAATAACTTCTGTGGCTTTGGCAAAAGAATGTTGTACAACATCATCTTCCTAACTTTCTTAGTATAATGACAGGTTAATAAGAAAAGGTTAAGAAAAAGAGAATTGTAAATAACTACATAAATAATATAATAACCAAGCAAATAACTAAGTATAATAGGGACCATTGCACTATGAAATTGCAGAACAAGTTTACATCTGGAATTGAAAACTCAAAACCTACTTACTAGATGTGTGCACATTTTATTCTTCTTTACCTGGCCAGGGTATTTGAAGTATGGTTCATTTACGGTGTTATTTTTTGAGATATAATAGATGTACTCTGGATTTGAGATGTGTCCAGTCCTCCGGGATTCAGTTGGATGATCTCATTAGATTCAGAGTCACTGCAGTAAATCCAGCAATGTGCAGATGCTAAACATAACGCTGGATTTTAATTATTGTTTACAGTTAATTAAAATGCTATTTTTGTTTGGTTTGCCTCCCTCTGTCTTCTTCAAGTTCTAATTAACTCTTAACTGTGGGTGGTGGGATTAAGCTTGGCAGCAAGACACACCTCAAACAGCCCACCAGCACCTATGGCTGTACGTGCAGTGGTGCTGCAGAAGCAGAGATCAAATTCTTGAGAAGTTAGATAAAGGTCGCTATTGTTCTTGCTGCCAAAATTATTTTGATCACATTGTCAACATATTTGTTAATGCACAAACATGCAGGTGAGATACAGAACACATGAAACTCATAACAAGTTGCAGACTTTGTATATGCGTGAAATTAGAGCATTGAAGATGGGATGTATAGAAAAGTGCTGAAGGGGAGCAAGTGTTTGCTTGGCAGATAAAGGAACTGGCTGTCACTGTTCCTTATGTTAAACCTCTTGGTGACATTTATGGCACTGATAAATAAAATCTATGAGGAAATATCATTAATCGATGTGGTTCAAGGAGTGGCTATTTGGCATGTTGCTATGGAGCTGGTATTTCAGGTGTATAACCAAATTACGATCAAAGGGTTTGGTTTGGGTTTTTTCATCCTATAATGTTGAAGTTATTTCAGAGATACAATGAGGTTTGGTTTTTTTTTGCTTAAAAGTGCTGCTGCAGTTGGTTTCTAGGGCTTTCTTGATTTGACCTAATTGAACATTTTGACAGGTTGCCAAAGTATGGGGTAAGATTTTGCCAGGTTCCTGTCAATGATTAATAAAGCTCATTTGGAGGATCAGTTAGAGTCCCAAAAAGAAGATTTTGAGTTGAAATTGTTATAAAACCAATGAATGTTGTTTTATCAGTGGACATTTTCAATGTTGAATGCTGAAACACGACACTGTCATTAACAGTAAATAAGAATCTCCCCCTTTAGATGATAATTACATTATTTCAGGAATTCTATAGTCAGCATGGAGAAACACTTTCATTCTGTTTTGTAATGACATTTTGAGCAAAATTCAAGTTGATGTTTTAAAAAATCATTAGACCATTAAAAAGTGGTTTTAACAGGTAAGATTTCCTCAAAGGTTTATTTCCTCCTCACAGGGCTGAAAGTGTAAATGCCAGCTTTCTGAAAGTCCTTAGAAAGAGCAAGTAACTGCTTTTGGTGTGCCTGAAGACCTAGTGAATTACAAGAAACAAAGTGATATGTTTGAAGGGAGGAACAGCAGGCAGTGTATGCCATTATCACTTCCTAATCGTCCCCACCTCCTCCCCAAGCTCCTTTTTATAAAGATAAAACAACGTGTAAGTTGTTCAGTCTGTCTCTGTGCATTTCTAATTTGCTTATTGCCCTGCTACACCAGTATGGATTTGTTGGGTATTTTCTCCTATAGTCAGAGGGCTGACTAGGGTAGGTAAGTTAGCAAGCAGGAGGCTCCTGCATGTTGGAATTAGCTACTTACCTGTCTCATCCATTGTTTGTTTTTTCATGTTTTGCTCCTTCAGAGGTATCCTAAAGAAATGAGATACCCAGCTATTACGGTAGTGCCAGGTTCTAATCTGTTCCAGGAGTTCGTAGCCGTGGGTCTGAGTGCACCAGGCAGGGTCTGTAGGTGTTCCCATGACGCTTCTCATTGCACCTGGGTCATAATTAGCTTTTTAATTTTATGTTATTGGGTTTTGGTTAACTATGAAAAAAGTAATAACACTGCTGATGAATGCTATGCTATAACTTGCTAAACTTCCCTTAGAAGTCAAAGATTTATGCACACTGGGTAACACTGCCACTCTCCTGCAGCATGTTTGTACTGGGTAAGGTCACTTGAAGAGCCAGAGTTTTGACTAAATTAGGACTTTCCTTGGCTGGTCCTACAGAGAGATTTTTCAAGCTGTCCTCCAAAGCATCTTTTGGGATTCCTGGCAGATCAGGTTTTCTACGGTAAGGAACTGCTTCTTTTTTTCAGACACTGTTAGCATAAATATCGTAACCTGAAGCCCACAATCACACTCAGAAGATGCTTTCTTCTTGTATGTCAGGCAAATTGTGTTTAAATTGGCATATAGAGAAACACGACTGTTCGAAGTGTTGCAGCGCGCCATATTACACTGAGCAGGTATACATACCACAGTACGTGCTGTGCTTTGAGCAAAAAATGGTAACAGCCATTCTAAATAACAGACTCATAGTGCTAAACCCTTATATTGTTTCTGCTGGCACCATGGTAATATTTCTGTTCCATACCTTTCAAAAGAACTTGGGAACCAAAACACTTCAATGAAAATTCAGTGCATATCTCTGAATTACTCCAGAAATTCAGCTCTGATTTGATTCAGGATGAAGGTGGTAAAGTGATCTCATTCACTCCATGTTTTAGGCCTGCTGAGATAAAGCTTGATTAAATACTGCTAAAGTAAGAGATGGAGAAGGAATGAAAAGATGATAGTGCATTATTTTACATTTTCACTTACTGACATGTGTAAATGTCTTCATCTTCTCCAGAGAAGGGATGCCAGGCTTCTATGTTCTGTGCTTAGTAGAAAGGTGAGAACTCAATTCTTAGTTTTTTGTTATTTTTAATCAGAGGTGGGGGTTGTTTCCCAGCATCTCTGTATTTCTTGATGTGTTTTCCATAGTGATGTTCACTTATGAAAACGAAGTGGATTTAGAATACAACAAGCTGCATGTTCCCTCAATTAATACATCCACCCCCCCTGTTAGTTTTTCTCCATATGGTTTTAGATCAGGAATGAGAGACCTTGCAAAGCGCTTGCTTCTGTCAGACCTCCAAAATCAAGCCTCTCCCCACTGGGTTTTAACTTTCCCTCAGTTATAATTATTAGCAACTGCAGGAGCTTTTCTAAGCCCTAATCTTTTAACTGAAACTGCAGGGGTTTGGGACAAGGGGTCTGGTTTCAGTAGGACTTCCAGCCATCTTCCCCCTCTGCCTTCTCTCAGAGCTGTGTTCACTCTTGCTTTGATTCTTCTCAAAAAGGGTATCGCCTATCCACCACTGAAAGGAAACTGTGCAAAGTGGTGCTATCACACCTACTACAAACTAGAGGCTTTTTCTGCAGGTCACTTCAATGCTATTTCTTCTTGCTTGATAGGCTGTCCTTACTAGTGTGCCCATCTCACCCTTTGTCCATCACATTCAGTGTGAAGGAAAAGCTACAGATCTGAGCTAATGAAGCCTATAATTTATCATCTGTTTTTACTGTTTATTTATTAATGTGGAGTTGCTTCTGCTGTGATTTTTGGGAAATCAAACTAGCTCCACTCTCATTTCTATGAGATGGAGCCGTGACTTGGATCAGGTGGCAGCATAACATAACAAGAATGGCCTTGATGACCTGCTGGTTTTGTTTACCCCAATAGCTCACCAAGCCATCTTTGACTGATGAGTAGAGGATGCTTGCAGAAAGACTGGATGAAATGGGACGAGTGTAGGATTTCCTAACTTCTGGCAGTCAGAAGTTATGGGGATTTCCTGAGCCAGAAATTCCACTGGATTGCATCATGTTTACTAGCCATTGATAGATTTATCGACTATGAATTGTCTGATCTCTTTTGAACTTTCTTGAACCTCCACATCATCCTTTAGTGGCAGTCCAAATAGTCTTTTTTTAGTAAAACAGCTTTTGCAATAAAGGGGGGAGTATACACAAATTCCTGTGTAGTCTGGAAGCCTGCTTCAGGGGTAAGGCTGTTTTCCCCAATATTTTGTACAATTTTGCACAATTCTAAATACAATTTAGAAACACAGATTTTAAAGATAATTTTTGGTGATAACTTAATCTCGCTGGTTTTCTTTCAGCTGAGGTATTTTTGCCCTTGTTCATTTGGTTTTGTGGGCTGAGCTCTAATGTCCTGTGCCATGTGCATCCCTGCATAACATGAGAAGAATTCCCTGCTGTGTTTCTGCATGGAAGATCAAAACTGGATATGAACTGTTCATTGGAGGTTAGATTGTGCCTCTAGGTTTGTTTCTCTCTTTCTTGCTTTCCTTCTTGTTATTTTTCTTTCCCATTTGCCTGATTTTCATTCATTTCTCTTGTCACACATTGGCTGTGGTTCCCCTCAAATTCTGATGGCAGGATGGAATTGGATCTCTGTGCAAAATGAAAGCATTATTACATTAGGTTATTTTCAGGTTCCTCAGAAATCTTGAAACAGACATATATTACACTGTATTGTAAAATGAAAATCAAAGAGGAAAAGAAATAGTGTACAGTATTAGTGATTTAGTTTCAGGTTTTTTTTCAGGAAGTAGATGTTTGCCCCAGAGAAAGACTGGAGACTGTTGGCTAACTAAGTACCTTCAGTTTACACCAAAATGTATTGA